TTCCAGTGACACTTCAACTAATTTCTTTTCTTTAATGGAAAAGAAATTGAAGCAAATGGAGAGGAGACTTAATTTTGGTTTTCAGACCGAATATCTAGCTTATTACTAATTTTGTATTGTGTTGGCTTAAAGTTATATAAAGGAGAATCAAAGTGCTAATTGCATACCTGTAAACCTGACATTTGTGCTGACATCCCAGAGTCTTTCCTGATATCTTGTGTGAAAGCCGTGCTTGAGAGTTGTCAAAGTGATGACGTTCCTGGTTTTTGCTATGGCAGAGCAAAATTCCTACCTTCCTGTGCTGGGATGTGACAGGGGAATCCTGAGTCTGTGTAACTGGTAATGTGGCTGATGATCTAGAGCACCTTCTGGTGTTAAACTGTGGGAATACTTTTGAAAATATGTGCAGTCATACCAAAGAGACTTGATCCTAGCATATAGGATTTTGACACTCTTTATTTCACTTCTCCCCTAAGAAATTGCTAACAATAATATATAATTTTGCTTATTAATAATCCTAACAGCTATACTAGGCTAATATAAAGCTACCTTGCACTTGACAAAATCAGGAGTAATAATTGATTTTGTTATTCCAATATAAAATTGGTTTGTGGAGCTTAATTCAGCCCCAGCTCCCAGCTTTTTGAAGCATTTTCACTTCCAGGCTGTTTTCCCAGGTGACTGAGCTGATGCTCAACCTTGGAGGCTGGTCACACACTGGTGATCTCAGGAAGTGCTTTGCAGCAACTTTTGGAGCTGTTTCAAAAGGAGAAGAGCTGTGTAGTGTCTCATAGGCAATTAGGGGCCACATCTCCTCTTGGGGCTTGATGACCATAATGTGTCTGCTTATGCTTTTTTCCCTGGAGATTTTCCTCTTGCAGTGGCAATACTTCTCTCATCACCTTGTGAAGTGGAAAAGCTGTGTAACTGGCCTCCCCATCTCCCCCCACCCCCTCATGGGGTTATGAGACTATCTGGAAGAAGGGAAGGATATATCACTTTACTTTTTAAAATGCAAAAGACATTTCAGAAGGCAAAGGCATAAAGTAACTCTAAGCAAAAATTTAAGAGAGACAGATGGGTAATAGAAAACATCACACCAGTATCAGATCACTGCAAGCTTTGGCTTTGTGTTTTCAGCACCATGACACAAATGTTATTTGATCTAAAGGGAAGAGAATGGATTTTTAAACTACATATTCTACCTTCTGCAGAATTCCAGGCCTTCTATGAAAGCCTCTACACAAATTATTAATGTAGGCTGCTGAGGATCACAGACCAAGGTGGAATGGCTGCAAGCGCGCCAAATGTGTGCATGTACTGCCAGCTACTCCAACAAAGCCATTCCATTCTGTATAGAGCTCCTTTGGAAGGAGAAATGTGTAAATTTTTGACTTCAGCACATGGGGAAAAAAAGTGTTACTTTCTAGCTCTACCTCAGAACCCATTCAGCACATGGCTGTCTTTTCAATGTGTAAACTAGTTAGGACAAATCTGGGGTGGGTTTTTATTTACTTTAAACTGCCTAGATCTTTTTCCATTTCAAATTCTCAGAGAATCAGGTGAAACAACTAAAACTTTAAAATGTTTGATGGATATCAGACTAGCAGTGAAAACACACAGAAAGCTGCTGGGTCCAGCATTACGTTTTCCTCTCTAGAACAGGTAAAGATGGATAGTGCGAGGGAAGCTGGTCCATTACTCTAATTGAAACGTGTCAGAGCCTGGCAGTTTGGGCATAATTAGACCCCAGTCACAATAATTTCTAGATCATCTCCAAATGCAGATACTGCTGCATCAGCACCATGGAGGTAAATCCAGCATCTCTTTGACAAAGAAGTACTTACCCCTGTTGGAATGATGTGACAGCTCCTGATGGCTCCAGTGTACCTTCACGTGGTGAAATTAGGGGGTGATCAACTTCTGAGCTCTACTGTATCATCCAAATCACTTGTTTGGGATTTCCAATCTATTTATAAGTAACTGAAATGCAGTGCCCATAAAAATGAACAGCATACTACAAACCTGGCAGTTCTCTATTTAACCATAATAACCTTATAAATAATTTTCACTTTTCTTTCTCTTACTATAAGCCAAGTTTTATAGCAAACAAAGTAATTAGGAACTTTATATTGTTGCCCATATGTGGATATGTAGCCAGGATCCAGAGGGTGGAGATGACTTACCAACAGGGTTCTCCTGGGAATTTGTTCCATGATTACAAATCCCTGCACTCATTAAGGGATCTGATTCTGCTTGGACTTGACACACCTGAGGGACCTCTGTAGGCACAGATGTGAAGGAGATGTCCAGGCTTGTGTTTAAGAGAGCAGTGATCCCAACAACAGCTGCCCTTATCACAGATAAGCTGGAGAAAAGCACTATCACACTTTATTTTAGTATGCTACAAAAGTCTTTGTTGAACTTTATTAGGTACTTTAATACCAAGCATACTTTGAAGTAACAAAAATTATTGTTATTATTACTTTTACAGAAAATCAGGTATTTCAACAGTTTTCTTTACAGTTTTTTGACTTAAAAAGAAATTACAATTGACAAGTTACAATGGAGTGGGATGGGAAGGTGATAACATTTAAAAAGATAAGACATACTATTCTTACTGAGTCAACATTTAATGATGTACATCCTGGTATGTCTCTCCCTTCTGACTGTGTACAAATTGTACATATTCACTGAGCTGCCCTGGCAGGGTTGTGATGCCTTGTGATGGCACTTCTTTTGCAATGTTTGTGTGTATTTAGAAAGGGTTTTCACATTACAACATCACCATGATGCTAAACAAAATAATATAATACAGAGAAACCCTGTTTTGGTGATTTCTGTCACAGCAAAAGTGCCATGACTGCTATAATGTGGGATAGAGGTAAACTCAAGGCGCAAATGAAGATGTGATATGAGAGCACATCCAGATAACAAACCCTTTCACAGGCTTTGAGGTGTGGGTGTGGTTGTGAGCCAACAAGAGCAGAGAATGAGGATGGGCTTCACTGAGACACCATTGAACAGGGACTCCTGAATGCATCTGGCCCCTGAGGATGTGCATTTTCCAGCTGACACTGGTTGGACTAACCAGAGATTAAAAAACCTGTCTGAAGTGGGCCCTTAAATGAGTTTATGCTGCCTCATGTGTGAACTACTTGGTTTTTACCTTCCATCCCCTTCAGTTAAATAGCAGGTACGGGGAAGATGTTTATGGTGATTGACTGATTTGGGTGGGGTTTTTGACCAGCTAGTCCTGGTCCTTTAGAAGTCAGAAGAATATTCTACATCCAGTTACAAGCACAGTTTCAGATTAAAAAAAAATTATTTGTTTTAAATGCTCCCAGATTCACACATAAATTTACTTGTCTGACATCCAGGTGAAGTCAGTGCCACATTGGTACCCTGGTTAGATAGAAAAGTTATCTAATTCCCTGTATTTGTTTACTGGCAGTTTGCTTAAAGATAATTTTTCTTTCAAAAGTAAAAATAATTTTTCTGAGATTCATGCACTAAATTATGGAATATTTTTTGTTGTGCAGTCAGTAGTTAAAAAGCAGTTTTAACTCATGTTTTCCTCATGTCTTCAGCATTTTGCATTATTTGGGATCAACACTAGCAATTAATTATTATTTTAACCATTTCCCCTGAAAGCCAAAGAATGAAGGAACAGGCTTGAATAGCCCTGAAGGAATCAGCACTGGGGTGCTCATTTTGCACGGGATTAATCCGTGATACACAGGAGAGCCCAGAGGCACATGGGGAGCGACGTGCTCATGGCCAGTCCCGAGGCAGGACAGACGTGTGCCCTGGTGGGAGGGTAGAGCGGAGCAGAGGGGAGTCCCTGCCTCCCTCTGCTGCTCTGTGCTGGCTGCTTTGCATCCAGGCCTTGCTCCAGGAGCTCCTTCTGTGCCTTCTCCTGTTTTATTTCTCACTGGCTTCTGGGACAGAGTGCACCCTGTGGGACCTGGGGAGGGAATGATTCCCTGCCAGTGCCCCAGGGCTGTTTGCATCCAGCCCTCCTCACATGGCTATTTGCAAGATGTATTTGCTTACTAGTCTGCTAATTTTTGTATTGAGTTTAAACTCAGGGCTTCACTGAGTTGTGTTGAGTTTAAACTTAAGGCCAGAAGGTCTCTTTAGATCACCCTGTCTGATTGGCATTAGCATGGGCCAGAGAGTGTCACTGCACAGTTGTATGGCAGAACAGGGGAACGAAATGCCCTTGAAGTGAGCAGCAGTGTGTTACATTTAAGGGGTAAATTACTTCCTTCTATTAAAAAAGAAATCAAGGGCTTTTATTTTGTCACTTCAAATACAAACAATTCTATGCATCTTGGGAAGTTATAGCATTATGATATTCAGTCAGACATACCTTATAGTATATATGCTTCATAGAACTAGAATATAGGTCAGAAATAATTTTTGAGTCTTAAGTTTGTTACAGACATGTTAATTGGAACACATATGCAGTAAAAATTGAGAAGCTTTACAGTTTTAGTCAACTTATTATACAGTGAAGTAAATGAAGTGCAGCAATGTAGCAGTAAAAGTTATGCTTTTTCCACTAGGTGATGGAAACATTCAGAGTCTATAAATGCTAATTTAAGAGAGATGTCCTAACAGCTTCTTGGCTACTGGGATAGGAATAGTCTGAAGTTAACTGCCTCTCTACTGTGAAAGGTTTTAAAGCTTTTTGCTTTCCGTCCGAATAAAAAAAATGACATTTACAAACCTCTTCAATGCATATATATTACATATGTTTATCTAGCAACAACTACACCCCTTTTAATTTATTCCCCAAATGTGACTTTTCATGCATGTCTTCTGGATGCTGAATTCAGCAACAGTTTCTAATGAGCTGGTGTGTAATCCATGATTGCATTTCTCTTCTGAAATCACTTCCATGTCTGGCTGATCTATGTTTAGAAGGTGGTGCTTATCCATCAGGCATTTTTGCACTTGTCAGCATTCTTCTCTGTTGGAGGCCCTTTCCCAAGCTTCTTCCCATTTTAATGTTGATGTACAAAAGCTGTTATTCATTTGTTTTGTGCTCATTCTAGTGAGGATTGGCTTAGTAGGACTGCAAAACAGAGAAAAGAGAGAAGCTGGTTTACTGCCAGAAAACACAAAAATGTTCACTCTGTGCTTAGCTTAGAGCAAGCCTCTGACCAATATTCTAATGCACTTCATTATATGTATTTCCATTTGTCAGGAAAAGTGAAAAATTTAATCTGTAGGTAGGATTTGTAATCTGAAATTTTCAAAAATAATTTTTCATTAGCTAATTGACACAGGAAGTCAAAAGAATGAGATTATTTCATCTAAAGTTTGAGCAATATGAAAATAAAGATACAATGCATATGGGGCAAGAATGACATTTACTAGATGAATACCATGAACTGAGTTAAAATCCTGGCATTTCAGTTCCGTATCAAAAGCTCCTTTCCCTTGAGGACACAACCCACATTTGCAAACATGATAAAATAATGCCTTGTGTTAAATTTCAAGTGAGGGCAGAGGTGTGGGGGTGTTTTCAAATCAAACTCTTCCTTAAAATCTAATTCTCAGTGCCCAGGTTCCATGTACTTCAGTGGAGTTGCATACAGGGCGAGGGGACGGGCGCTGGGAGCAGGGTGACAAAGGCTCTCCCTCCTTGCTGCAGGTGGCAGCCCCCGAGCTGGTGCTTCAGGGGCACCCCTGGGGCTGGGGCTCCATGAGCAGATCTGTCTGCAATACCCACACACAGGCAAAGGTGGAAACCTGGCTGCCCCAGCAGAGAGCAGAAGGTTCTTGCACCAAATGAGCTCTGCCAGTTCACCCTTAGCTAGCCTGTCTCAGACCCCTGAGACCAAACCATGAGGGCAGGCAGTCTCTCCACTGCCTCCTGTGAAAGGGTCACTGCTCAGGGGGCCTTACAAAGCCACATCCCGGGGCAGAGGATGGCCAATGCCATCACAACCCCAGGTCCTGTACCGTAACACAGGGGCCTCTGCAAGAGACTGCTGGAATGCAGAACTAGGGGTAAATCATGTTTTTTGTCACAACAAAAGAAAAAGAATGAATTTCATTGTGAAATGAAAGCAAACAAAGGATTTCAGGACTAGAAACACTTAAAAATATTACTGTAAGAAGACTGAAATATTTCATTTCCTCCCCCCATATTACACAGAGCAGCCACCTTCCCCCATCCCCTCAAATTCCCTACACCCTATACTCCTGGTCACCTTGGCCTGCAGGTAATTCACCCACATTCCCAGAGAGCATGGTGCCCCAGGGCAGCATACCCAGATCTAAAAGCCTGGGGTGGTGGTACCAAGAACCAGTGAGCCTGGTGGTGGCAAACCCTTCTGCCATGGACCTTGGATGCCTGCTTCCCCATCAACTTCCAACAAACTGACATTTCTCAAGCAAAGTTTGTTCTGGAGGAAAATTCCAGACTTGTTCAGCATGTATCTATAGTCCAGATTTATTTTACAAGACACTTTTAATTGATGTTGCTGAGACTAGAAAGTAGCAAATAAGTATGTAAGAAGCATAACGTGAACTTGGGAGGGAACTGAAAAAGAAAAAATGGGTCAGTTTTGTTTGTGTTAAAAAATTAATATGAAATACAATGTTCAGTGTAGTAAAAACATTTTTATGATGTATGTAATGGGATGGTAGCTTCCAATTGTAAAAAAGAAACCTTGAAATTCCTACCTCCATGAGCTTCCTTTGAAATATGTAGCAAAAATGAAGGATAAAGTGTGGATGAGAAATAAAGATACTTGTGATAAATAAAATCTATTAAAAATGGTCTGAGTCTGGAACTTTGGTGTATTTTATAAATGTGGTTACTAATGTTATTAGTGTAGTAATTAGTAATATAGGTAAACAGCACTACCAAATAAAGTACATGAAAAAGTGCCTGAGCCTCTAATCTGTTTATTTTCTGAGATAAGGGGGTTTGTGGGCCTCTTAAACAATCCATATTCAGTGAAACTGAAATCTGAAGAAAGATAACTTTGAGTGGTAAGGAACATGTGCCCTAGGAACAATCATAGCTTAATAGAACTGAATAAGCCATTTCTTTCAATTATTTTTAATAATATTTTTATGTATGTTATTCAAACCCCTAACATTGCTTATTGGATTTCCAGCACCACTCAGAGTTTCAGCAGCAACATACTAAGACCTTCATTAATTCTTTGGAAAAATTTTGCATGCAGGTGTTGTACACATGGAAATGAAATTTAACAAATGCCATAGCTGACAAGACATAAATAAGTTATTCACATGCAACATCTCTCAGTCTGTTTTGTATCACACCACAGGCTTTTGAAGTTTGTTTTCTTAGAGCTACTTACAGTGCTGCTGCCAAGAAATCAGTTAATGAAAGCAGTTTTCATGGAAGCTGTATTACCCAGCCACCCAGGTGCTCTGCTCTTAAGTTCCCTATTTAAAGTCTTTAAAGGCTGCCTGTTAGGCTGACCTCATCACAACGGGGTTACTGCTTATAATTGACACACTCAATTAGGGCAATCACTTCTGCTGACTGCAGAGCTGGGGTATAGTCAGCCTGGAGGGATTTGCAGCATTTTCGTGTTTATGTACATTTCAGAAAGAGGACACTGAGGTTTGTTTGTGGTAAAGATGAATCACAGGGAGATTTCCAGGTTGCTCTCTGACAAGGTGTAAAAGACATGCTGAATTTCAGATGGTCCCTTCCATGCTGTTGCTGTAAAGTCAGTAGAATGAACAGTAAATATGGAGAGAAAGGCAGACCTTCTAGGTTTGGGTATATATTGTCTCAGACAACCTTAACACTTTACACCACTAATTGTCACCAGCCATACTGAAATTATCTTCACCATGTATTTGACTGGTATCTAGAAAATAACACCTTTCCAAGTGCTCATCTTTTATTGCTGACTCCAAACGCACACAACTGCTTTGCTAAAGAGCAACTGGCATTTGTGGTGCCACCAAAATTGGTACAGTTACAAAACCACATCAGCTGGCAGAAAGCCATGGGTTAATGAGGTACCAGAGATTTCCTCCCAGGACCTCCACAGGATTCCTCCAGCCTAAACATCATCTCTGCTGAATGCTTGCACTGTGGGGAGTGTATGGGAGGCGATGAAGGATGAGAGAAACATTGATTCTGAAGCTCTGCAACTGAAAATAGACATGCTGAGGCACCTTGGATAACACTGCTGTCTGGGCTGTAGGCCAAAAAAAATTGGACAAGTTCAGTTTTAATGAGGTGTTGGAGTTCTCACCTTTCTGCTTATAGAACCACAGAATCATTAAGGTTGGAAAAGACCCCTAAGACCATCAGTTCCAACTGTTAACACAGCACTTCCATGCTCACTCCTAAACCGTAACTCCAAGTGCCACACCCACACATCTTTTGGACACCTCCAGGGACAGTGAATCCAAGACTTTCCTGGGCAGTGTATTCCAGTGTCTGACAACTCCTTTGGTGAAGAAATTTTTCCTAATATCCCATCTAAACCTCCCCTGGTGCAGCTCAAGGTCATTTCCTCTCATCCTGTCAGTTGTTACTCTGGAGAAGAGACCGACCCCCACCTGGGTACAATCTCCTATCTGGGAGTTGCAGCATGATAAGTTCTCCCCTGAGTCCCCTTTTCCCCAGGCTAAACATCCCCAGCTCCCTCAGCTGCTCCTCAAAGGACTTGTGCTCTGAGCCCTTCACCAGCTGTGCTGCCCTTTTTGGACATGCTGATCTGGGTCAGCTCCTTATAACCACAGGGAGAGGGTTTTGTTGCTTACATCAGAGTTGGTGAAATGCTAAGTGTGTTAAAACTCCACTTGTAGCCACTGCAGCCCAAAATTCAAACAGGAACATGTATTCATGGCCTGGACAATATCCAGGTGTATATAATTAAAAGGCATGAAAGGCACAAGGCAACCAATGACTCATTATCACTTATTTCCTTGAAGATAGTCTCTTTAGAACACATAACAAACCCAATTTGAGTGGCCTGAGAGAATTATTTTACTTTTCATGTTATGAGAGAGAGGATTTATGTATATTCCTATTTCCCTACCTGCTGTGGGTGCCTTTTCCCTCTTGATGCACTGAGCATCCTTTGCCCTGGCCTCATGGGGAGATGCTTATCCATCACCTGGAGAGTGGCCTTGGGGCAAACTGTGCTCTCAGTAACCAGCCAGGCACCAACTCAGGTCCTCTCCAAGATTCCTGATGATCCAAGATGGAACTCTAGCCCGTGTTTTGGAGAAGCTGTGCACAGATCATACTGGAAGCAGCTGTATGGCCAGGAGGAGAATAAATGGTGCACTGCTGCCTACACCTGCACTGCAGCTGAGACAGAGTAAGGAGGGTACAAAGCTGCCTGTGGAGATGGAAAGGAGAAGGGACAGAAATTCCCCAACTGTTTTGCCAGCAGTGCTCTTTGAGTGTTTCACTGTTCAGCACCTTCTCAACAAAATGTGATTAATGACCTGTCCACACCAGAGCTGCCCAAGGCGTTTCCTCCTCTCCTTGGCAAACAAGCAGGCAGGATCTGGCAACTGCCTGCTCTGCCATCACTCACAGCTACCAAAAACTGCCTGAAAGGGCAGGGGTTAAAGAGAATGCACAGTAAACCTTGAGGAGTTACTAAAACTTTTACAAAATTTTGGAATTGAAATTGTGTGATGGTTTTGTCCATATGGCATTAGAGGAAAAGCTCATCTGAGCAGAAGGTGTGTGAGCTTGCTCTTCTGCTGCAGCACTTCCTTGCAATAAAATAGAATTGAATCACATAAAAAATGACAAGATTTTCCCCAATTCAGTATGCAAGCCCTGTGAAACCAGAGCTGAGTGGAACAGTGGGACTTATTCAATCTGCTGGGTGGTATCTTGCTCACCCTGTTAGTGGCAGCAGCTGAACTCCTGGGCATGGCTTGTGGGAAGTGTTTCTAGGACAGTAGGAAATGGTTTCAGGAGCATGCAGGAATTCTCTAAATGTGTGGCTCTGGTGGTTTTGCTGTCAGAAGGCTCAGTTCCTGGCTGCACAAGCACATTTCCAGCATGTGGCAGGATGCTGTGGTGGTGTGCTCCCCTCCACTTCT